ATTGCCAGATCGCGTGGCAACTGAAATCGCGTGAGGTATGTCCACTTAGACTGTGTCAATCTGAACAATGGTTTTTGCAATTGCCCAAATTTTGCGGGATAATTCTCTGATTGAAAACGGCGAGATTGTTTTAGTCAGGCTAAGCCTTTCTCGGTTTTCATATTTAATCTGTTTTACTTAGTCTCAGCCTTTCTCTGTCTTCATATTTGATCGTTACCGTATGGGCAAATAGTCTAAGAGTTTCTAGTCGTGGTTATATTCATCTTATACGAGGTTCCGGTCCATTCGGCTCCAGACGATAGCCCTATATAAAGCTATCAATAGTTTCAGTCGAAATTACATCCCCGCAAACTCTTTTCCCGCAACCGGAATCATTTGGGTATAGCGTTGACATAGCTGACAAACTCGGCTCCATTTGCTAATGCTTATCCATGCCTGCTTGCTCGAAGTTGCGGTGTCGATGAATTCTCATAGAAACCATTGATTTTTACTTCTACATAACTTTGAAGTGCCGCGCACGCGGTCTGCTCAAAGCGGATTATGGTTGAAGACAGGAGTCTCTCTAAAATGTGTTGCTTGCATGGATTTGGTTCTAAGGCTTTGTCAGACTGATGTTAACTAGACATTATCAATTGGACCACAAAGTCGTTCATGTTCACCGACATATACGACTTCGTGAATCTTTCTTCTCTGTCTTATCTTTGCAAATATTCAGACCATGGCTCTCAAGAAACAAGCTGCACTAGTCAAAGAACTCCAGCGTGCATTACGAGAGGAAAAAAAGCGAGCTGAGTCTATGGAGAAGCATGGTATGAGCTCACCAGAAGAGCGAGGATGGCATTTGGTATCTGATCCAGATTCAAGAAGTGGCCAGGTTTGTTCATGGGTTTACGCGTCAGAACTTCCATGCACTTTGTTGTTAGTTGTGGGTGATGTGACGTAAATACATGAAGCACACCATGTTAGGCATAATAATCCTTACGTCAAACGATGAACTCTTCCTTGTTTTTTATAGTAGTGATATAATGGGCAGGTGGATTGACAGTTTTTTGGTCTAAATTCTGTACACCGAAAGTTGATGTGTTTGTTCTTGGCAGTTTCATATTTTCAAATTATTTTTTCTCTCTCTTTCTCTCTCGTCCCAATTTTCATTTTGGCTCTTTAGACTCTGGATGGTGCTGACAGTCGTAGTGTGTCATCAGTAAGTGCTCTCGAGTCGGATAACGCCGAACTGATCAGTAGACTCACTGCTCTGCAACGAACGCATGCTGATGCAATGGACAGAGTATGCATCCAAATGTT